TCTAGAGGAAAGTACATAGCAATAAGTGCCCATATGAGGAGAATGGAGAGATCCAAAATTGACACCCTATTGTCAAAACTGAAAGAGCTAGAGGAGCAAGATCAAAAAAACTCAAAACCCAGCAGAAGACAAGAAATAACTAAGATCAGAGCTGAACTCAAGGAGATTGAGATACGAAAAACCCTTCAAAAAATCAATAAATCCAAGAGCTGGTTTTTTGAAAAGATCAACAAAACAGACAGACCACTAGCCAGATTGATTAAAAAGAAAAGAGAGAACAACCAAATAGATGCAATAAAAAATGATAAAGGGGAAATCACCACAGATTCCACAGAAATTCAAACCATCATCAGAGAATATTACAAACAACTCTATGCACATAAACTAGTAAACCTGGAAGAAATGGATAAATTCCTGGACTCCTGTGTCCTCCCAAGCCTAAACCAGGAGGAAGCTGAAACTATGAATAGACCAATAACAAGGTCAGAAGTCGAGGCAGCAATTAAGAGCCTACCACACAAAAAAAGCCCAGGTCCAGACGGGTTCACAGCCGAATTCTACCAGACACACAAAGAGGAGCTGGTACCATTCCTTCTAAACTATTTCAAACAATCCAAAAAGAGGGAATACTTCCCAAATCATTTTACGAGACCAACATCATCCTGATACCAAAACCCGGCAGAGACCCAACAAGAAAAGAAAACTTCAGGCCAATATCCATGATGAACACAGATGCAAAAATCTTCAATAAAATATTGGCAAGCCGAATGAAACAGCAAATCAAAAAACTTATTCACCATGATCAAGTAGGATTCATCCCGGGGATGCAAGGCTGGTTCAACATACGCAAGTCTATAAATGTAATTCACCACATAAACAGAACCAAAACCAAAAACCACATGATTATCTCAATTGACGCAGAGAAGGCATTTGACAAAATTCAACAGCCCTTTATGCTAAAATCCTCAATAAACTCGGTATCGATGGAACGTATCTCAAAGTAATAAAAGCTATTTATGACAAACCAACAGCCAATATCATACTGAATGGGCAAAAGCTGGAAGCATTCCCTTTGAAATCTGGCACTAGACAAGGATGCCCTCTTTCACCACTCCTATTCAATATAGTTCTGGAAGTTCTAGCCAGAGCAATCAGGCAAGAAAAAGAAATAAAGGGTATTCAAATAGGAAAGGTAGAAGCCAAATTGTCTCTATTTGCAGACGACATGATAGTATACCTAGAAGACCCCATCGCCTCAGCCCAAAAACTCCTGAAACTGATAAGCAACTTCAGCAAAGTCTCAGGATATAAAATCAATGTGCAAAAATCACAAGCATTCGTCTACACCAATAACAGACTTAAAGAAAGCCAAATCAAGAACGAACTGCCATTCACAATTGCTACAAAAAGAATAAAATACCTTGGAATACAACTCACAAGGAACATAAGGGACCTCTTCAAGGAGAACTACAAACCACTGCTCAATGAAATCAGAGAGGACACAAACAGATGGAGAAACATTCCATGTTCACGGTTAGAAAGGATTAATATCGTGAAAATGGCTATACTGCCCAAAGTAATTTACAGAATCAACGCTATCCCCATCAAGCTACCATTGACTTTCTTCACAGAACTGGAAAAAACCACCATGAACTTCATATGGAACCAAAAGAGAGCCCGCATAGCCAAGTCAATTCTAAGCAAAAAGAACACAGCGGGGGGCATCACACTACCGGATTTCAAACTATACTACAAGGCTACAGTAATCAAAACAGCATGGTACTGGTACCAAAACAGAGATATAGACCAATGGAACAAAACAGAGGCACCGGAGGCAACACAACATATCTACAACTATACAATCTTTGATAAACCTGACAAAAACAAGCAAGGGGGAAAGGATTCCCTGTTCAACAAATGGTGTTGGGAAAACTGGCTAGCCATGTGCAGAAAGCAGAAACTGGACCCCTTCCTGACACCTTACACTAAAATTAACTCCAGATGAATTAAAGACTTAAACATAAGACCTGGCACCATAAAAACCCTAGAAGGAAATCTAGGCAAAACCATCCAGGACATAGGAGTAGGCAAGGACTTCATGAACAAAACACTAAAAGCATTGGCAACAAAAGCCAAAATAGACAAATGGGACCTAATGAAACTCCACAGCTTCTGCACGGCAAAAGAAACAGTCACTAGAGTGGATCGGCAACCAACAGAATGGGAAAAAATTTTTGCAGTTTACCCATCTGACAAAGGGCTGATATCCAGAATTTACAAACAACTCAAACGGATTTACAGGAAAAAAACAAACAAGCCCATTCAAAAGTGGGCAAAGGATATGAACAGACACTTTACGAAAGAAGACATATATGAGGCCAACAATCATATGAAAAAATGCTCATCGTCACTGGTCATCAGAGAGATGCAAATCAAAACCACATTGAGATACCATCTCACGCCAGTTAGAATGGCGATCATTAAAAAATCTGGAGACAACAGATGCTGGAGAGGATGTGGAGAAAAAGGAACACTTTTACACTGTTGGTGGGAGTGTAAATTAGTCCAACCATTGTGGAAGACAGTGTGGCGATTCCTCAAGGCCTTAGAAATAGAAATTCCATTTGACCCAGCAATCCCATTACTGGGTATATATCCAAAGGACTATAAATCGTTCTACTATAAGGACACATGCACACGAATGTTCATTGCAGCACTGTTTACAATAGCAAAGACCTGGAACCAACCCAAATGCCCATCGATGATAGACTGGATTGGGAAAATGTGGCACATATACACCATGGAATATTATGCAGCAATCAGAAATGATGAGTTTGTGTCGTTTGTAGGGACATGGATGAATCTGGAGAACGTCATCCTCAGCAAACTGACACAAGAACAGAAAATGAAACACCGCATATTTTCACTCATAGGTGGGTGATGAAAAATGAGAACACATGGACACAGAAAGGGGAATACTAAACACTGGGGTCTATTGGGGGGGAAAGGGGAGGGCCAGTGGGAGGGGGAGGTGGGGAGGGATAGCCTGGGGAGAAATGCCAAATCTGGGTGAAGGGGAGAAGGAAAGAAAAGCACACTGCCATGTGTGTTCCTACGCAACTGTCTTACATGCTCTGCTCATGTACCCCAAATCCTAAAATCCAATAAAAAATTTTAAAAAAATGTTTATAACATTTATAAGATATGAAAGACTAACTTCATTAGTCTTCAGGAAAATAAAAATTAAAACTGCAAGAGAATATTACGACATATCCACGAGAAAGGCTAAAATGAAAAATACAAATTACTAAATGCAATAAGTACAAAATATACAAAAAGTATAAATTCCTGACAAGTATGTAGGAAGGAGCAATACTGGATGGAGGGGCGGTAAATGGGTACAATCATATTGGAAAACTATTGGACACAATCTATTTAGCTGAAGATATGTACATTCTCTGACTGTAATTCTACTCCTCAGTTTCTTACCCAACTGAAACACCTAAAAAATTTTTATTAAGAAACATATAAAAGTTCTTCATTAAGAAACCTAGAAGGTTCATGGAAGCATTAACTATAATGGTCCCAAAATGAAAATTACTGAAACCAACAGCAAGAGTAGATAAATAAATTCACACTCATATAATGGAATACTATTTGGCATTAAGCATGAACAAACTATAACTACATGAAGGTAAGAATGACTCTACAAACATAATGTTGAAAAAAGCCAGCATATGTACATTTAAGATTCTATTTCTATAAAGTTCAGAATTAGGCAAAACCAATCTGATTTGAGTCAAGGCAGTGACTAGTCTGGATGGAGACGTGGTAAATCGAAGGAGGCATGAAAAGGCTTCCCAGGTTTTGGGGTCCTGCTTCTCGACTGAGATTCTGCTCACATGAGTGTGTCTGCTTTGGGACAATTCAAGCTGTATGTATACAACTTCTCCATAACTTACCATGGGGTTACAACCTGATAAACTCATTATGACAAACCCATAAACTTGAAAATATCGTAAGTTGAAATGTAATTAATTTCAACCTAACCTACTGATCATGAAACCTTAGTCTAGCCTACCTTTAAGGTGTCAGAACACTTAACATTAGCTTCCAGTTGGACAAAATCATCTAACACAAAGCCTATTTTATAACACAGCATTGAATACTGTACACAGATGAGCATTTTGTAGACTTGATGGGATGTGAAAACATAAAACACAATATCCAAAAAACACTGGCAACAGAGTATACTGCAGAGTACCGGTTTTTTACCCTCATGATCACGTGGCTGACTGGGAGCTGCAGCTCACTGCCGCTGGCTAGCATAGCAAGAAAATATCAAACCACATATTGCTAGCCTGAAAAAATAGCAAAATTCAAAGTATGGTTTCTACTAAACGCATATCACTTTTGCATACTGTAAAGCTGAAAAATCATCAAGTCAAGCTATTATTTAAGTCCAGGACCATTTGAATACAGATTTGTACACACCCGTCTGTATGAACTAACTTCATAATACTTGAGAAAATACTTTAAAAATCAGAGAAAATTCTATCACCATACAATTATGCACTGCATAATGACGTTTCAGTCAACAACAAACCACATATATGATGGCGGTCCCATAAGATTATAATATCGTATTTTTATTCCATGCTTAGATATATTTAGATTCATAAATACTCACCACTGTGTTACGGTTGCCTACAGTATTTGGTATGGTAATATGCTGTACAAGTTTGCAGCCTAAGAGCCATAGGCTATACCATACAGCCTAGGTATGTAGTAGGCTATACCATCTGGGCTTGTGTAAGCACACTCTATCATGTAGCTCAACAAGAAAATCACCAAAGGATGCATTTTCAGAATACATCCCTGCCATTAAGCAGTGTGTGGCTACATTTACACACACACAAAATGACTCTTTGAGCTTGTGAAGAAGAAAGGAAAACTATTGAATGTGGAAGTCAGGCTGTTTGTATGGTATTTCTACTCACCTTTGTCCTGTAATGCAATTTGCTGCTTATGCAGTAATGCCACCTCCCGTCCCAAAGCTTTCTTCTGCCGTTCCAGTTCATTTTGAAGCACCAAAATTTTTAATTGGAGGCATTCACTTTTTTTTTTCTAAATAAATAAAATCACAGGTATATTTATAAATACAAATGTCATGACTGTGAATAATTATACACTCAATGTTTAAAAATAAATAATGATCTAAAGCACTTTAATACTCATCAAACTTACGAAACTCTTGAGTAACTTGATTATCAGCACCATCCTTTTAATGAAAATCATAGAGATATAAACAAAGAATAAAAGTAAATCTTAAGTCTGGGGACCCAACAGACACTACACAAAATATCTCAGGTTCCTTCCCTGACACCACAATACAATAAGATTTTTAAAACTTAATAACAAATAAATGAAGTTCTCAAAAAGTTAAATACAGAGGTACCATAAGACCCAGCAATTCCACTTCTAGGTATATACCAAGAGAACTGAGCACATGTCCACACTTAAACCTGAACACAAATGTTCACAGCAGCATTATTCATAAAAGTCAAAAAACATAAACAGCCCGCATGTCCACCAACTGATGAAAGGATAAATAAAATGTGGCCTATCCATACAATCAAATATTATTTTGTAATAAAAGGAAATTAAGTACTGACAAATGCTACAACATGGATGAACCTTAAAAACATTATGCTAAGTAGGCCAGGCGCTGTGGCTCAAGCCTGTAATCCTAGCACTTTGGGAGGCCAAGGCGGGTGGATCACAAGGTTAAGAGATCGAGACCATCCTGGTCAACATGGTGAAACCCTGTCTCTACTAAAAATACAAAAAATTAGCTGGGCATGGTGGCGTGTGCCTGTGATCCCAACTACTCAGGAGGCTGAGGGAGGAGAATTGCCTGAACCCAGGAGGCGGAGGTTGCAGTGAGCCGAGATTGCGCCATTGCACTTCAGCCTGGGTAACAAGAGCAAAACTCCATCTCAAAAAAAAAAAAAAATTATGCTAAGTTAAAGACTCCAGTTTTAAAAGGCCACACACTATATGGCTCCACTTACATGAGATGTCCAGAATAGGCAAATCCATATAAACAAAAAGTAGATCTTTCACGTTTGCCAAACTGAACCAAGGTGCTCTAAGAAGGCCAGGCAGATGCCTGAGGTTTTCAACCCTGCTAAGCAGTAACCAACCGAGCCCCATGTGGTATCTACTGACATCACATGGGGATCCTGGACTTGGGAAAACCCTCTCCCATCCTCAATGGGGTGGTATTAAAGAAGGCCTAGTGGAGAGTCACTTTCACTACCACCAAGTGTTAATGGGGCCACTCTCCTTTCTGTGATACCAGTGGAAGACATTTGGGGAGAAGTAACAAGGCACTCCTACTCCTCCCAGATAAGAAGGTGGCATTGGAGGCCTAGTGGGGAGCCACTCGTCAGCATTAATTAAGGGAAGGGGAGCATTCTTCCCTGCCACCAAGGGGTCAATGGAAGCTGCATAGGGAATCTGGACTTCTATACTCATCTGGCAGTAATGAAATGGTACCTCTTCCTTCCCCTACCAAAGAGGTCTCAGAGGAAGCCAGCTAAAACAGAAGGCTTAAATAAGATCCAGAGAATTCAAACATAATGCCCCCGATGTCCAAGCTTCAAGCAAAAACCACTCCCCACATCAAGAACCAGGAAAAGATCAAAGAAAATAAAAGAAGACAAGCAACAGATGCCAAAACTGACCTGACAGACATGTTACAATTATCTGATAAAGAGCTGAAATTAGCCAACATAAAAATGCTTCAACAGCAATTAAGAACATGCTTAAAACAAATGAAAAAGTAGAAAAAAATAAACTAGAAAGTCTCAGCAAAGAACCAGAAGATATAAAGAACTAAATGGAAATTTTAGAACTAAAAATAACAAAAACTCTCAATGAATGGGCTCAATGGCAGAATGGAGGAAGCAGAGAAGAGTCTGTGAACTGAAAATAGAACAGTTGAAACTACCAATTTTAACAACAGAGAAAACAGCCTTTAAAAGAAAAAATAAGGCCTCAGGGACCTGAGCTTATCAAATTAGGCAGAAGAAAGAAATCTACATATGCAAGAAGCTAGTTAAATCCAAACAGAATAAATCCAATAGAGAAAAATCAATGAAACCACAACTGGCTCTTTGGAAAGGTAAATAAAATTCATAAAACTCTAGCCAGGGCTGGGCACAGTAGCTCACACCTGTAATTCCAACACTTTGGGAGGCTGAGGCAGGTGGATTATCTGAGGTTAGGAGTTCAAGACCAGCCTGGTCAACATGGTAAAACCCCAACTCTACTAAAAATATAAAAATTAGCCGGGCATGGTGGTGGACACCTGTAATCCCAGCTACTCAGGAGGCTGAGGCAGGAGAATCCTTTGAACCCGGGAGGTAGAGGTTGCAGTGAGTCGAGATAATGCCATTGCACTCCACCACTCCACCCTGGGCAACAAGAGTGAAACTCCATTTAAAAAACAAAAAACAAAAAAATAACTCCAGCCAGACTATTCAAGGAAAATGAGAAAAGGCAAAAATTACTAATATGAAGAAAGAGGGGTTATCACAATTGATCTCACAAACATCAGAATAATAAAGAATACTACGAACAACTCTATGCTCAGAAGTTTGATAATTTAGATGATATGAACCAATTCTTTGAAAGACAATCTACCAAAACTCATAGTAGGAGAAAGAGATAATAAAGAAATTAGGTTGGACATGGTTATAATCTCAGCACTTTGGGAAGCCCAGGTGAGAGGACTGCCTGACCCCAGAAGCTGGAGACCACCCGGGGCAACACAGTGAGACCCCGTCCATAAAAATAAAAAATAACAAAATTGGCTGGATGCAGTGGCATGCACCTGTAGCCCCAGCTACTCAGGAGGCTGAGGTGAAAGAATCACTTGCGTTCACGAGTTCAAAGATAGAGTGAGCCATGATCATGCCACTGTACTCAGCCTGGCAAGAGAGCAAGACCCTGTCACAAAAAAAACAAAAGAGAGAGAAATTAAATCAACAACCTTCCAAAACAGAAAAAAAAAAAAGGTCTAGTTGGTTTCACAGTGAATTCTACCAAATATTTAAATAAGAAACAATACCAGTTCTTCAGAATCTCTTCCAGAAATCACAAGTAGATGAATGCTTGCTAACTCATTCTATGAAGTCAGCATCACCCTAACCAAAATCAAAGACACTACAAAATATTAGCAAATTAAACCCAACAATGTATAAGAATAATTACACAACATGGCCACATGGAATCTATCCCAGATAGGCAAGGTTGGTTCAACATTCAAAGAGCAATTAATGTAATTCATCACATCAACAGGCTAAGGAAGAAAAAGATGATATGATCACACATTGGTAGATGCAGAAAAAGCATGTGACAAAATCCAATGACGATTCATGATAAAAACTTTCCGCTAAATAGAAAGTAAGGGGAACTTCCTTAACTGGTAAAGAACATCTACCAAATAACCTACAGATAACAGCATACTTAATAGTAAGAAACTAGATGCTTATACCCTAATTCTGAGAACAAGACAAGGATGTCCCTTTGACTCCTATTTAACATAGTTATACTTTATAAGTCCTAGCCAATGAAATAAGAAAAGAAAAAGAAAGAAAAGCTACACAGATTGGGAAAGAATAAATAAAATTGTCTTTATCTGCAGATAATATTACTGTCTACATAGAAAACCCCAAAGAATTGACAAAACAAAACAAAAAACCCTCCTGGAAAAAGCAATTATAGCAAGATTGCAGGATATAGAATTAATATGTATAAAAAGATGCCTTCCTGTGTAACAGCAATAAAAAAGTGGAATCCAATTATCCCATTATCCATCAAATTATTTTGTTAATATAAAAACTGACTCTAAAGTTTATATAAAGGCAAAAGAATACATGATACAATATTGAAGAAGAACAACAAAGTTGGAAGGCTGACAGTAGCCAATGTCAAGAATTACTGTAAGCTACAGTAATCAAGACAGGGTGGTATGGGGAACAGACAAACAGATCAATCAAATGGAACAGAGAGCCCAGAAATATACCCAAGTCAAAGAATCTTTGACAAAGAAACAAAAGCAATTCAATGCAGAAAGGATAGTCTTTTCACCAAATAATGACGCCACTAGACAGCCACATGCAAAAAAAGAAAGGACAGAAGAAACAGAGCAAGGGGGAGGAGGGAGTAATCAATCTAGATGCAGACCTTATACCCTTCACAAAAAAGTAACTCAAAACGGCTCACAGATCTAAATATGAAATTAAAAATTATACTTCTAGAAGATAACATAGGAGAAAGTACAGAAGACTCTGGGTTTGGGGATAACTTTTTAGACACAACACCAGAAGCAAGATCCGTGAAAAAAGAAATTGGTATCTTGGAAATTATTAAAATCTGCAAAAGACACCGTTTTAAGAGTAAAGACAAGCCACAGATTGGGAGAAATTCTATACAAAAAACATATCTGATAAAGAACTGGTATCTAAAATACACAAAGAACTCTCATTTAAAAAAATATACACAGGGTCTCACTATGTTGCCCATGCTGGTCTCGAACTCCTGAGCTCAAGGAACCCTCCCACGTCAGCCTCCCAAAGTGCTGGGAATTACAGGCATGACCCACTGTACCTGGCCTCAAAGAACTCTTAAAATTCAACAATAAGAAAATAAACAACCCTGCAACCCTGGCAGGACACAGTGGCTCACACCAGTAATCCCACAACATTGGGAGGCCGAGGCAGGCAGATTACCTGAGGTCAGGAGTTCGAGACCAGCCTGGCCAACATGGCGAAACCCCATCTTTACCAAAAATACAAAAAACAAAGCAAAAAAGAACTGAACAAGCATCTCATCAATGCAAGTTAAAACAACAATGTGATATGACTACGGACCCATTAGAATAAAATCCAAAACTCTGATGCTACCAAATACTGGCAAAGATATGGAACAACACGAGCTGTCATTCACTGAAGGTGGGAATGCAAAATGGTACAGCCACTTTGGCAGATAGTCTGGCAGTTTCTTACAAAGCTAAAATAGGCTTACTATACAATCTAGCAATCATGCTCTTATATATT